TGCTAACCCGTTTAGTAGTTCCAATCATCATTCTCGAACGACGATCTTGAAAGACACAGACATCAGAGGAAAAAAAAGTAATACAATGCAATCACTGTCATATGTCAACTTACTGATTGATAAAGGTTATACTTCAGCAGAGGTAAATGTAACACAGACTTCACTTTACCGACAATGAAACATTGGGACTCGCCAACAATTTTAACAGAATATTTCCCTGTGCAAGGATAGTATGTTGAGAAGGCTTGAGAGTTTCTAGTCATGTGGTCCATGACACCTGAATCAATGATCCATGGACTAAAAGTGACAAAAGAAATGAGTGTCATAGGATTGGTACCTTGACAAACATGAGAGGTCGACGAGTCAAAAGAGAGCGAACTGGATCCAAACAGCTTGATTAAGTGCTCTATTTGACTTTTAAGAGATTTGGAGGATTTTGGATTGTTCTGGATAGATGTCGATTATACTTTGTTGGATTCAGAAGCTGTAGAGAGACCCTTGGTAACTAAAAATTTGGCTGACGGTTTGCATGCAGGTTTCCCATGGAGCTTCCAACATTTATTGCGGGTGTGGTTGAGTTTGTAACAATGATCACAAGTGAGGTGGCCAACACAAGATTGAAAGTTACTGTCGTTTAGTTTATGGGATGTAATTAAGAAGTTAATGTTGTTTTTGTGTCCAACGGTATGCAGAGGAACAGAGGTTGTAATTGACCCTCCCGTGAAATCAAGTTCACTTGAGGAGTTTGTCATGGTTCCAACTGATCCAAAGGAGACGTTGAGTTGTTGAGACATCAGACAATTTTGGAAGTAGGAGGGGACATATCTGGCCTAGCGAAGAAGCTCCGACAATCCGGGAAATAAACTCAATTGGACAGCCTTCCTCTGGGGTTGGAAACACGTCTGGCTGGCTACACTGATGACTGGATGTAGGCCAGGCCTGCTAGAAAGAAATAATACCACTGTATTGACGAACACAGATGGAGACCAAGCAATCGGGCTCTATTTTCGGCTGCTGGACAATCAGGTAATGCTTATTAGAGCAACATCCAGCTAGTAGGAGATAAAAACGACAGTTGGAAGAAGCTCTGCCCAACTGGACTGGACTCAGAAGAGAGAGACTACGAGATTCGGGCAGCTGGAGGAAGGGGCAGCGTCGGGGAGGAGCAACGGGCGACAAGGAGAGGCTCGACAGCTAGGTCAAGGCCATGGCTCTTATACCATGTTAGAATAATACCCAGGGCAAATCTTATTGATGCAAAGAGGAGTGCAAAATACCCATTACAGGGTCTCTATTAGAAAGGAAAGAAATAAAAATAGGATATAGTAAAAAAAAGAAAGGAATAATAAAGAATCCATACTAATAACTCCGGATAAACAGGAATTAAGAATGGATAAAACTAGCAATTACTAAATATTCTAATAATTTGTGTGACTAAAAAAGTTATAATTATTTATGTGGACTTGTCGAAACAAGTGGATTTAAGAGTTAGTATTTTGTTGAAATGGAATGACTCTATTTCCACGAAGCAAGAAGTAGGTTAAGGCCTTGGAAACATAGTGGGGATACAAGATAAGGAGAAATAAGAGAGAAAGAACACATTAGTTCAAAAAGCTTAAGTGTGATTGATTCTCAAATCAATCAAAATCCTTGCGGACAAATATTTGTAAGAGATAAAAGCTAATTTTTAATGAACTAAAGAGAACATAAATTGTAAAAAAAGTGTTCTAGAAAAAGAAACTTGTCATAAAAAAGCAAAAAAATCCCCTTAAAAAATTCATCTATAGGCTATAATGCCAGTCTTCTCAAGATCTCTCCCTATTTGAAAACAAATAATAGCACTCCAAATTTAATTATTTAGTTGCTTCTCTTGAATCCTTAATGAAAACTGATTTATATGGCTCCAACATAGTTTTTTTATCAATAAAATAATATCTCCTAACCTCATGCATGATCAATCTTATAATTCTTCAATAAAATAAAATATAATTAATTATAATGATAATCAGCCTTTGTAATTGGAGTAGGAAAAGGCCCCTTTTCGTCCTGCATCACTATCTCTCTTTCTGTGTTGCTCGTTGTTCAAATGAGCATAAATTAAGATGTAAAAAAAATAATCATCTACATACCAACAGCTTGAGAACCAAACTTGCAAAAGTATCTATATTTATGTCTGCAGTGTTGCACTTTAAAGATCTCATTGAAGTATGATATAATGAAAAATGTCAAGCTTAAAAGCACCTTCTATGTATTTAATTAAATCAGCCCTTCAATTGTGAGAGCAATTCGATCATCCAAAAAAATAATTCTTTAGTGATCTCCTCTTCCGTTTAAATATTTTAGGCGTCTAAAATGTCAAACCCATTCAAGCTCAAGATGGTTGGATATATGTATC